AAATTAAGTACACAAAGTTTAAACCGCGATGAGCGAAAGGTTTAGAAAGAATCGGAAAGCGGAAATCACACGAACCCAGAATTGATCAGCGGGTTTTGCAATTATGGAGCGCTTCCGATTTCCGATACGTTGTCCAGAATCCGTGACGCGAAATTCAGCTCAAGTAACAAACCTCTAACATCCTCGAATTTGACGATTTCGCTTTGTTCCGAAGGCGTTCCTTGGCTTTCGGAAGTCACAGCCGTGACTCGCACAATATACTCTGATCCAGGATTCAAACCGCTGATAGTGTAGGAGTCTCCTTGTACTGGTTCAGCGCTGACAGCTTTCCATGATCGTCTTGAGTTCGCCTAGATTTTCGATTTTTTGAGTGAAAGGTCCATATTCACCCTTACCCCCGTAACTATCCAATTATTTATTTGAAATTGTTCGACCAGAAGGGACTCTAAGGGTTTCACCTATTATGCTCTCCCAGGGCACGTCCTGCAGTTGGGAAAAATTTTGCAAAACACGATCCATCTTGAAATTCCCCCGTTCCCTATGCTCCATCGTACCTACATGTTCCCTATCCTGCCTAAATTTCTACCCATTTTCCGACTTTCTCGGAGCTCTTTTCCCCAGTGTTCTGCAGTCTTTCCCGAAGAACAACCGCCCCCGAGCGGAGGGTGCCGGGAATTGGGTACACAGCGCATCTAGTCCCAGAAAAGTGGTCAATCTCTCTAGATACCTTTGTATTCTAGTTTGAAGGTGCATGTAACGGTTTTCAACCCATCCAGGGCATCATGCCTATGTACATGTAGATGGAAAACGGGAAAAATCGAGGTAACCATCTTTCACAGAGGCAAATACGACCCCCCCCCCCTTTCTCCCAGCTCCCAGATACAACCCGCTTGCTGGGATCGACGATGTACGACGTGCTTTTTGCACTTCATAAGGAAAGGTTGCAGCTTCCAGCAAACTATTCAATTGTCCACTGTGAAAAATGAAGCTTTCACCGCTTATCAGCCCCTTTTTGTAATGCGCCACGCACTCAGCTTCCAATCAGAATTGTAGTGGCTACCTGAGTGTGTGGCCTCTGCAATGGCTTGCGAGGGGCAGCCAAAGTGGAAGTCAGTGCTTTTATCCTCTCAGACAAATATGACACCGATTTACCGTCACCGGAGGGTAAAAGGCTTGGTTCAAAAAATTTCAGATTTGTTAAAGTACAAAGAAGGGCAAATGACCCGCTCAGTTCCTGTTTAGGTTTTATCACTTTTTATTGTTTTCCTTCTACACGTAGATGTGTGCCTCGGGAAGGGTGAAAGCACTCTAACATTTGACAGATTTCGGCGCTGTTCGGCTTGGTGGGGGCGGCGAAGGTACCAAACTAAGCCTGTGAAGTTCCTGCAACCAAAGTAGCTCACTCGCACCATTTCACAGGTTTGCAGGGTTTCACAGGTCTCACAAAAGGGAGACCCTTAGTCGACATGAACCAATAAAAGGGTCCAGCGAAAGTGCAAAATGCCCCTTCAAGGCGAACAGCACTTTAGAATCCATGATCTAGAGAGACTGGGAACTTTGGAGGATTTTCACGGGAAAAGATCCTTTCTCTACGAAAGAATACCAAGAGTATGAGGCTCAAAATGGAAAGTTAGGGAGACTCTCTTACGTTTTCACCCAAGCTACCTGCTCGGGAGGGCGTGATTTTAGAACAAGAGCGATCGGTAGGCCATAGAGCGCTTTGTGCTATTTTTAGCCAATCAATTCGGATTGATATGTATTTTCCAGCGGGCAATCCGACAGCGCCGTCGCTCATACTCACGCAACCCGCTCATCATATAGATTGTTCAATTATTCCCGAGATCTCAAGGAACTGCCTTCTTATCAACCACGTAAATCGAAAGGATACGTCCACAATTAATACGCTCTTCGTTCCGATAAGTACACCGCGATTCGTGTTTCGTCGATTCTTCGGGTTTCCCCGCCCGCTTCAATCATCACAAGTGGTCTTAAAGAGCAAAACCTCCTTAATTTCAACGATGTAGTTGACGTCATCGTCCGGCAACCGTTTCCACATCGCAATTATCGAGCCAGCTGATGAGATCGCTGTGGGCTTTTCCATGCAAAGTGCTGTCTCTGGAACAAGTCGCTTTGAGGGGGACTTTTCGGGTTGTCTCTGGAGCAAATAACGTCAATGAACCTGCAGATAATGTCACTTTTTTCGACTCAATTGAAGTTCCTCGTCCGATGGCATTCTCAGCTGACACTCGGAAGCGATGCGATGAACCGGGAGAAAGACGATCTGAAAGGACTACGAACGTTGTGAAGCGAATTGTTCCCAGACAAGGGTACGGGGTACAGCAACTTTGTGAGAATCCCGCCAATCTGGTTGAAGAGGGGGATCGTACCTTACCTTGACAGAAATTGTTCCAAGCTTCCCAAAAAAGTTACCGATTGTTTCCATACCCCTCCCCCCACCCACTATTGGGCCGACCCACACGTCCAAGTGATAGTAAATAGTAATTATGTTAATAAAACCATAAACTTACTATTTCTGCATAGTCGAATTCGCAGAAGATGCCGGGACAATTCTCCCTCCCCCCTGCTTCCCTCCAGTTCTCCCCACCCACTCGATGGCAGAATTCGTGGAAAGATATCAAAAACATCCTGATAAAGTGTGGAAAGTGGTAGAGAAAGTTAGGGAGACCGAGGAAAGATAGTAGATAGGAACAGCAGTAACGAAAGGGGGGGGGGGGCAGAACTGCCACAACCCCATTCTTGCATCGATGCTCTACCCTGATATCAGATGATTTTTTGTAGGGAATCAGTTTAACTGTACTCACCAACTGTATAAATATTGTCAGTGCATCGGGCTAAGAACATCCATTTCTTCAATTTTTCATCATATTTCGATACCAGTAGCCAAAGAAATCATCGAATGACCGCGTCCTCCAATGGCGCACTCCATGAAAGTTTGCATGATTTTCCAGTAACAGACACCTCGAGTGGTCCTTCAGGCGCTGATGGAACGGCTAAATGCGGATATCATTGCTTTTCTCAAGCACTGATTGACTAATCGAGCGCCACGTCTTCATGGCAAGATATTACACAACCTGTACTGGGCGCAGTTCAGGCAACACGGAAGGGCATTATCTTTTTCGCTGTTTTACGCTCGTTCCCGTTTATTTAAATTCACGAGACCGGTATAACTGCGAACCTTGTAAATGGCTGAAGCAAGCTCGTCGAGCCACCATGGTAAAACCTGTCAACCCTTGTGAGCTCATGAAATAGCTCACTAGATGGCTCGACATGTCGATGGGAAGTAGCACAAGTGCAAAATGTCTCCCCTCTCTGTGGTCGATGTGGCCCATGTACTGTGTTCCGGGCAACCAAAGTTTCCGTCAAGAGAGATGCCCTTTCTTACAGGAAAACAAGAGACAACTAGAATTCTGCCGGCCTACTCCATTATCCCGCATGTTATCCCAATAAGTGCGATCTTTCTTATGCTGCCCCTTTCGAAACCCAAACACTTCAGCTGCTTCTCGCACCTTCGATCTATCTTCGCGTGCCCAAGCTCCAACCCGACCCTGAAGTCTATCCAAACATCGACTGTAACCGAGTTTTTGATGTGTGCAGCTCACACCGTCTTCCAGGGCACAGCGTTCGATGGGGATTCCCTATGGGGGGGGGTCGTATTTGGGCTGGGAAAAATTTATTTTTATAGTTGATTTTTCTCGCTTTGCGGACGTTTTGGAGGGGGGGGGGTCGTATTTGGTCGTTGTTGGGAGGGGGGTCGTATTTCTGGCTAGGAGTTACGTGGTTCACTTCATGAGTTTTATGAATTTTCTGTGTTATAGGTACTCCCCCCCGCTCGACAACTTTTTCGCCGAGTATAAACCACAACCACAGTCAGCCATGTCAGCCATCGTAGGCATGGGGGGGGGGGGTCGTACCAGCCCCTGAAAAAAAAAAAAGGGGCGGGGGGCGAGGAACGCAAAATCCCCACATATAGAATGATGACGTGCCTTCTCTGTCGTCACGTGATAGAGGTCCAACGAACCATCGCCACAAATCGAACACACATGCACAGCACCCAGTAATGAAGTGGGAAATGATATTTTCGATGTCTTTCAACTTTTCAAAAAGCCACCTTCCTCACTAATACGTCGATACAGCCTTGGGGGGGGGGGAGACCACACCTGCAAGCGCTCGCCAGCATACCAATTCCTGTAAACTCCATACATGTGAATACCGGACAACTTTTCCCTGTGCCTTGCTTCAACCTGTCAAACACCCCTGTAAAGCTTTGTCACAACTTGTCAAAACGGTACGAGTAATCGATCATTCACATCGGGTCGTGCGCGTTCCAGTGACGCTAGTACCGTTTCGCCAAGGGTGACAGGAGTTTACAGGTTATTCGACGAGAATTCACAAGACTTGCCGAATAAGATGCGACTCTCCGGTGTTCACCTACACACATAGAGTTTTCAAGTGTATTCTCGCACTGACGTTCCCCCCCCCCCAAACTAAGGTTCAGCGCCTCACCTTCTAGATTCGAGACCGCTAAGCGTCACAACCGCGCTTGAAGTGGAGCGACCCCTTCTTTCTATTAGCATCTTCTCCCAGTCAGACGACATAAACCACAATTAAGGCAAGGTTTTTACACCTACGAATCTCACATTTTACAGTAAGCTCGATATTGGCAGTATCCGTTCCGCTGGCATTGCTGACACTCAGGCTATACGTTCCGCTATGCGAGGGTTCGATGTCTTATTGATATCTGAAGATTGACGATGCCGTCCTTGTAGGAGGTGTTCACAATTCTGGAGGTCTGAAAAAGAACCACACCTCATATACAAAGGAATTGTCTCATCCATTGTAATCGAAGTATAGAATAATAAAACTTTCAGAGTTCATGAATTCCTTTCTGATCACCTATACCACGAAAAGGGGGCTGTAAGAGAGAGGCCCCTTTTTGAAGAAACGAAACTGTGGGAATGTTTGTTTTTGCCCCCTCCCAGACAACGTGTACATCCCGAAGCAACTCTTGCTCGAGCCAACCAAACCTTCATTCCCTCGGGGAATAATTAAGTGGTCCCGAGATATTAAAACAACTATGCTTTGGAAAATAGTGGCAACTACGAGCGGATGCGGAAATCTCCGAAGTCAAGTGGCAAGTTTCTTTTCGAAAACGATTATGACTCCGTGAAAAGTTCTCAATTGGTCGGCTTTCCCCGCGGACCCGATTATTAGAGCTGTCTAGGGTTAGCGCATGCCACGATCTACTAATAGTGTCAAACATTAACACATGTCATAGCTTTCGATCAGATCGCTTGTACACTCACGAAGGTAGGCGACGCCACCGACTGTTAATATAAATTCTAGATCTCTGAGAAACGGTGGGCGTGGCCGCGCGCTCCATTAAAACATGGCATGGGACGAGTTATTCGTGGGATATTTCGGTTTGGGGCAACCTGTCATCCTGCTTGTGTTAAACAAAGACATTTACAAAGCGTACTACACATAAAATTATCCCTAAAGCGCAGCCTAAATGTCAGATGAAATACGGGCGGCGCCACGCGCTACCGCTGTTTAGTAACGCGATATCACTGTTTCTTGGATGCAACTGTCACCACATACGATGATAACCGCTTTCTCATTCGGCTCCGCGGCCTGTCTGCATCTTCGAAACGCCTGAAAAGGAGTGCACAACAGTAGTATGCACTGTTTGTCCACTTGAAGAGTGCGCGGAAATGAAGCCTGGAGCTATTTGTGAATAGGGTGCGCGTCTGGATTCCATACATAACCGAGCACGGCAGAACACATCACGCAGAACTACGCGCGACTAAGCTCACGCAGCTACATCCAAACACGCTACTTGTCTGCGTCCTCTAGTTGTAAGCAACTTTCGGGTGTATAGGCTCGCTCGCCAGCGCTGCGGGACTTCAGTATCGATGCAAGTGCCGCACGATGTGGATAGCGCTGGTCCCCGAACGGCATCCACCTTTCACTAAGCTCCAGGTCGCATTTCCACGTACTTTCGTAGGATGAAATTGGCACAGTTCTACAGTTATGAGAATTCTCACACCTCGCACATGGAGAAGACCCCATCTTGATGGTAAGTGTAACAGGTGTACTTCATAAGTCGTTTCAAGTATAGCGGTCGTCTCCCCATGATGAACCTCCTTACAGCATTTTCTTGATCTAGACCGAGGGGTGAAGTAAAAGCTTATCGGCTCGTACACCGTGACTGACAGAGATTACGCATGCAGACTTGGTATGCACAATACATGCATGCTGATCTAAGCTGATTACAGGCCTTGGGCGAGCAAGGTTTCCGCCAATACCGAGACCACTACAACCGATTTAGTCACTCTCGCAAACATCGGAACCATTCTGACCGTCTTCTGCCGCCGGCTCGCTCCACCTCCACCCCCCCCCCCCTTGCTGCTTTTTCCATAATAAAATATGGTTGCTGACTGATCTGTATTCTGTAAAACGGTGGTCTAGGGGATGCCTGGACCTACACTGAGGGCATTCCATGAACATGCCTACAAGCTCGTAGCAGCAACTACTTCCCGCAGTGGTAATGGCTCTGAACTCTGATTTCCACCAAAGACATTTTCACATCACTCGAGAAGCCAGCTGTGACTCTTGACCGGTGATCAAAAATCAAAAGCCAGCACGTCATGATCAGGATCTCTTCACCAGTTCTGGCTGAGACCTTCGATTCGGACCATAATAAGGTGGAGGATAAGTTGAGGTTGTCAACACAGAAGGGGCCATAAAAAGGTTTTCCGTTCCCAAACGAATGCTCCTCGAATTGCTCTTTCTCGACTTACTGGCCCGTGAGTGTGAATATCTGCGGTTGATCTGCAGTTCTTCGGAAAGACACCTGATTGCTGGAATCTTCAAGGAATTTTTGAATTTTTTTCTTACAGGAAACGAGTTCAACGGACTGCACCCAAGTCTTCTTCTTTTTCTACCTTCTTTCGTTAGTGAGTCCGTCGCAAGATCTGCTATTCTTCATAGGAATCGTCACTTTTGCTATCAAAGGCGAGGCTCGTGCCGTCGTCTAACTTTGAAAGCACTTCCCGCAATAAACTAAGGCCTCTTAAATGTGTCAGATGATCCGGTAGGCGATTGTAGAGGTTGCATTGCATTCAAAACTTGCAAAGTGGCACGCAAAGCACCCGAAAACTTCCAATTTTAGGAAGGTCCCAAGGAGGAGGGTCCTATTGAGGACGATTTTTCAGATTTTCTTCTTCCCTACTAAGGCAACTAGCACAATGTGCTCCTAAGCCAGTTGAAGTCTGCTACCTATAATGTGCAGTCGCGGAAGTGCCTTTAATGGAATCCTTCGTGATGACGTCTCACCCCCGCCCTTCACTGCAATTCGTTTATGGTGCTTGTGGGTCGTTTCTTTGGAGTTTGCGTAGCCACTTGCCCCGTGAATCGAAGTCCAGTGCTTTCTTAATCGGGTGAAACATCAGGAGTTCTCAGCACGCGTTCAAGTGCACGCAAGTGGGTTTTACGATTTCAGGGCGATAGTTTCATAGAAGACGTCATATCACTGTTCTACAACAGCCTACGTTCGAGTGAAAGCTGAAGCCCGAAAATAAGCAATATCATCGATGACCTGAGTCAGTCGTCAACACCAGCTCGTGGAAAAGTCTCGAGTCTCAGCAAGATGGCGTGTCTTAGGGATCCTGATAAGATGCAGCAATCGCCAACCACGTGCGTGTGAATGACGAGGGAGAGAGGAAATAAGACTAACATACATCACGCCAATGAGGCTACCAAGGCAACATGAGTCATAAACGCCAAGAACTACTCCCTAGTTACCAAGATTCCCGCTCTTTGGTTTCATTCTTAGCACAGATAAATACTGATTTCAGTTCAATTATTCGCACGATAGGAACAAATCAGAGGTGGTATTGATACACGGCGCAGTTCGGCGACGGGGTGGGGGGGGCATTTTGCACTTTTGCCACTTCGTATCGATGTGTAGAGCTCTAGAGAGCTGTAGAGCTGTTACATGAGCTTACTAGAGTTGGTAGGTTTTAGCATGGTGACTCGACGAGCTTGCTCCAGCTCCACAAGAGTTCACACAGGTTTTCACCAGAGTGAGACTTCTAAACTAAAACTAAGTGGAGGCGGCAAGAGTGCATGCCCTTCCCCCCCCCGGCTGAGCCCTATTGCGGGTAGCGGATGTTGAATTATGAACCATTAAGGCGACGAGTGACTGCCCAGCAGAGAGAGAGAGAGAAGCCAAAAAAACCTTGAGAAAACCCTAAACAAAACCTCTCCCTGACAGTAACGCAGCCTCATTGTATTAGGTTGGCTCATAAGTAAGGCGTTTTTTTCTCACACAAGTTTTTATATGGGAAATGACAGTTGTTCCCAATGTGTTGCACATTGTTTGATAGATAATTTCCCGCTCTATAAGGGTGTATGTTTGCCATTCATCTTTTTCTTGTTCCCTTATTTTTACTTCTTTGAAATGGAGTGTCCGGTCGTCACAAAGTGAGTTTGCTACAACAACGTTTTGCACTTTATCTCGTCTGTCGAACTACAGAACAAGCTCGAAAACTTGTGACAAAATGGTATACGAGAGATGCGTCTTATGACAGCTTGAAGTTGGCTCAAGCGATTGAGTGTTTGGAATTTGGGCCATGTAAATTTTCAGCGCACGGAGCGCTCTCTGAGGTGGGAGGGGGTGCGTGCAAAACCCATCCACCGACTTTCGAACGTCTAAGATAAACTGAGGAAGGTAGTTAATAATGAAAAGGAGGCATTCCGTGACTTCTAACGATTCCTCGATCTTTGGCATGAATCTCCGTGAATAAAGTAATTCCGTAAGCTCTCAGTTGGACACAGTAGGGCATTAGGTTCGGTGCTTGTTCATGAAGACGAAATTGAAAGCTTCCAATCCACTTAACTACCTGGTAAGCACCCTAAGATGGACTCCTAGAGATATAGCATCTCGCCCAATATACTTAGCAAACTGGGCCTGTGTGGTTTGAGATTTTATTAGAGGTAAGAAGGGTGGCTGTCGAAAACCCTCAATTTCATCGACCTGACTGACACTCTAGTTTGAGTACTTAAATATTAGTGGAAAAGGAAACTTCGAGAAAACTAAGGAGACTATTGCATAGGGCTAGGAATTCTCTGCAAAATAGTATAAAAGTCAGTGACAAATACTTCTGTGTTTAGCGATATGTGAGGAAAAAACGCCATTACTTATGGCCGACCCAATATTATCTCCACGGAATTGCTGGCAACTCGACACCCTGATATCTTTGAGCAACCCCTGACTCACAAATCGTTTCTTCGCATCTTCCAGTGCCATCTAATACTGGAAAAAGAAGAAAAACAAAAATATTTGAAGAGAAAATAGCTGCTCGAAGACTTGGAGCATGAAATTAGGACTACTAGGTAGTGCACGACTGGCTTTTGCACATAGTTTTCATGGCTGCTAAAGTCAAGCAGAGCTAAAACCATCTCCACCGAGGTACAGTCGTCAGTCCTTGCAACTTGATTAGCCGAATGTCAGTGCGCTGCGTGCGGCGCGGTCGCCCGCACCCGTACTGCACCAATCGTTGAACCAGGAAGTGACATTACTGTATTATATCCTTCGTGTTACTCGTTTTCTATCACTTTTTGTCGCATACGCGTTTCAACGAAAAGGCTGAGAAGGCTTCAAACAGTGTGCACGCTCCTTCCTCGCCGACACGCAGGAACCTTCACCCCTATCAGTGCAAGGATGACACTGTAGATCTACTACTGTTGCTTGTTTTGAATGTATCCAAGAAGAGCACAACAACTCGCGAACTCGCAGTACTCGAAAAGTTAAGATTTCTTGCGACGGGCAGATGAAACCGTCCCACGAACGCTGCATGACACAACAAATGCATGCATGTGATTCACCGTGTAAGTCGCTGTCTCATAGTCTGAAAAGAACAAAGTGCACAAGAGTCACGCGTTGCGGCCGCTTTATTTCGAATGACCAAGGTATCGAGGTGAGGTAAGGTACCAGTGGGTCTCTGTGAGTGCGGACCTGGATGCCAAATGCATGTCGGCATTTCGCGGACCACTCGGTCTCGGGAACTGTCTTCAACGGCGCAGTGTCGGGAAACTTTCTTTTGGTTGTACAGATACGTCGTGCTGGATCGATAGGGCAATAATGATCAGTATGGTCACGGACTACATAGAGCGGATCACGGCATCGTTGCTCTTCTGGAACGCTTGTATCAAAAGCGAAAGCAGAGATACGAAATCCCGCCTCTTTGGTCCTGTGGTGTCGTTTGGATCGTCTGACTTAGTAAGCCATTTTATTCGAATGAATGCAAGGTCAGTTTCAAATTCAACCGGATGAGATTTTTCCATGAGTAGATCAGGAGTGCTGAAACATCATGAGATAATTCTTTGAATTTTCAGGGCTGCTGGAGAGCGAACCCGCACTGTGGATCAATAGCTGTTGAATCCGTTGGTTAAAACTGAAATCCGACTATCCAAACTTTGTTATATAATCAGTCGGCAGATTTCGAGTTGATGGAGGCAAGCGAAGTGGTACTCAGTGAAGCTTGTACATCACTCGACGCTGACAGGCTGAGGTGAATGTACAAAGGTTCACATGACAGCAGGCTTCGCAGCGTATTAATCTGCTGCCCAACCGAAGTCCAACTGCGAACACGAATTAACAAAAGAAACTAGTAATAGTGCAAAATGCCTTCCAGCATGAGCCGAACAGCGCCACCTTGCATTCGTCAAGGAGTTGCGCATCAACCAACACACTACTTTGGCAGCTCCAGGTCAACGCTTCTTGCCGGAGAGCACAAAATTCCTAAGTAGCCTTTTCGCATGTAGTTTTTCTATTTTTGGGTTCCTTTATAGCGTGATTTTGCGTAAGATGCGTATTAGTCTGGGTTGTCATTGGTCTCATATTTTAGGCACGGTGGTAGCTCGGGAAGAACTCGGGATTGATACGCTTGTTGCCAAGAGGTTCTCGACTTCCCTCTTGCCGCACTGAGAGCTACACTCATGATCCCTGCAAGGCGGCTGGGCGGTGGTGAGCGCGGGCGCGTTTTTCGACGGCGGCCACCGCGGCCGTTCTCGGATCAGAGATGCCATCCTGGGCCGGCAATAGCAGCCGATGGCTTGATTTGCTGGCATTCCAGCCATGCCCCGTCCCCGTCAGATCCCTATCGTTTTTGCACTGATATGACTGCACACCGTACTACTGAAAAATATCAGCTTCGAAACTGCTGTGAAAATAGACTTTGTGCCGAAGAGCAAACGGTCACAGCGGAGCGAGGGACCCCTTGAAAGGAACATCTGACAGGCTCGGGCTCATTGTTGTTTTTTTTTCCAAAAAATTTGGCAAGCAGAAGGGAAGTCTTCAAGGTTTCATACCTTTACAGTTTTTCCGTTTTTTCTCCACACACATTTCAATTCCGGTCCTCCTGTCACATTCACTTTCAGTGTGGTACTTTCACCTGACTTCACCTCTACGCGGTTCGACTCGAGTTGACATGGCATGGTTTATTGATTAACAGAGTTGTTGATTCAGTGCATAGCGCTTGTGTGATGTTTGTGAAAACTAAGGTCATGTTATAAGCCCTGGCAAGGTGGGTAGATTAACTGCAACGAGAAGAAAAACTCGAAGCCAATTTAAAAGAATCCGTACCTCGCGTATCCGTTGGCGCAGTGGCTGCTGTTCCACCAGGAGGCACATGCGCTCCTGCATCTGGTTCTGAACTAGTGGACGGTTTTTTACCAGCTTCTTCGGTTCCAAGGTTTCCTTGATGCTCAGCCCCAAGCTTACTTGTCACTTCAGCTTCGCCTTCTTCCAATTCCTCTTTCGTTTTTAATAATCTCTGACGGGGACGAGTAACCATTTCATCAAACATTTTGGATTGAACTGATCGCTCGTCTTCATTTTCCCACAGGCTTTCTTTTCTTCAGCCTCTGTTTGGTGTTCACAATATCATCCACAGGGTTCAGCGGCTTCTTTGACACCGGTTTGGGTAATTCCTCTTGTCGCTCATCTGATACTTCTAGCTCCTTGGGAATCCGATTCGCCTTCGGCTTCCTTCTTCCCAACATGTTTTCCTTTATCCTTCCCCTGTGAAACATCCGCATGTACCACCAAAGCAGCGCTGGAGCCGCTAGGCATGGACTCGGCAGCTGAGCCTTTAGCAATCACCCTGTAGCAATAGGACCCTTGTTGCAGCAAAGATGAATCCGCAAAGTTTGTACTCTCCACTTTAGCGATTTCAAGCCAGTCCCCTGCATCACACTGCCGCTCGAGTTGGTAGGCGTTAGCATCGGGAACTGCGCTCCACGACAACATCACCTTTGCTCCGTCAAAAACCGCTTCAGGAGGACTGGGAGTCTCAAGAAGAGAACTCTCAGACGAGTCCAGGTTCGATTCCTCATCCTCTTTGGTGAGAACATCAACTGACTGGCTTGGTGGCCCCTCTCCTACAGAATTGACAGCGATGACGCGGAAAACGTATACTAGACCGCTGAACAAGTCTGTTGCTTCGAATTGTAGTGTGGTGGCGTTTGTCTTGCCTATGGGACGCCAACGATTGCTGTCAACGGCCTTACGCTCTATTATGAAGCCGGTGATTGGAGCGCCATTGACCTGCTCGGGGTTGTTCCACGAGAGTATGGTAGAGTTTGTGGAGGTCTCTCTGCTGAAGTCAGACCCAGTGGTTCAGAAGGCACATCGAGAACAGTCAGGCCTAAGTTCTTTGTGCGTAGCTCCGATTGGGTTCTCTGCGGTGATCTTCACAGTGCCACAGTCATCCCGGCTGAGATTCTTCATGCGGACACTAACGACGTTATCGTATTCTTCGACTTCAGCCCTGTCTGAAATTCGGAGTCTTTGCTGTAAGATGGTGACAATGGGGGTCGGGTGGCCGGTAACCTCAACGTGGAAGGCCAGCTCTTCGTGGGCTTTGAACACCAGCTCATCTTCCAAGTTTTCTTGAATTACTATTTCAGGGGCCACTTCGAGCTTGGAGCTGGGCTGGGGCAGAAACTTCTTTTCTCACTCAAAGCAGCAGAATACTGCCCGATGTCGTTCTTCTCGATATTACGGATTTCAAGAGTTGAAGTATTTCCCGAGGTGGTGATGGAATACTTGTCCGACTGTGGCCAGATTTCCTGCCCATTCTTGTACCACAACACTTTGTGGGGTGGTCTTGTGAACTCGCAGTGAAGCTTCGCATCGGTTCCCAGTTTACTGACTGTGAGATCCTGAGGGCCAGTGCTTATGTTGGGTTCGTCTGCTGAAAAAAAACATATTTTCAAGAGTCTACACGGGAAAAACATCATGTCCCACCTTTCACTACCAGTTCTCCCTCGGTTCTGTTTCTTCCGTCGGACGTTTCGCAGCCATATGTCCCATAATCAGTTTCTTTTGCAGATAATATCTTCAACGTCCGCTGCCTACCATGACTCGTGATGATAACGCGGTCGTCTTCTTTCAGCGGTTTTCCATCCTTGTACCAGAGAACCTTGCCATCCTCATCGGACACCGTGCAGCAAAACTCAATATCGCGGCCCTCCTTGACCTCAACGTTCTCAGAGAAAGATGACTCAAAATGACATCGCACATCTAAATAGAAAGTTTTTAGTTAGGCTCAACACTGTTTATACGAATCAGGACACACACCATGACGTTGGAGAGAATTTTTCGCAAAATATGACCTCCCTCCCAATTCCAATTTCGCTACTCTGTTGCGGCCCGCCTTTCACATTCTGCCTACCATCTTGTTAAACTTCTCCCCACTTCCTGCCGTTCAGAAGTTTCTCCGTTATCCCATAGCACGCGCAAGAAGTAAAAATCAACAAATATACAAAAAACACTTGCGGGAACGCACGCCGCTCTCCCCCTTTCCAGCTATTTAATTCCTCTTCCGCCGTGTTCTAGACAGCGATGATGAGTCCTTATACTAACGCACTTACCAGTCACCGTGACAGCAGCCGTCGATTTCGTCGATCCGAAGGGATTCACAACTTCACAAGTGTACGACCCGCAATCATTACTGTCCACACTGTGAATGATGAGAAGGCCCACATGACCTTCACTTATAATCTGGAAATGTTAAAGTGTAGTGATCAGGTAATCGTGATGACACCTTTGTGAAATAAATGTGATTTAACTGCAAATGATGAGGGCGTGCCAGGCAGGGTTGTGTTGGCCCCCCTTCTACACCAGTTGTTGAGGCGAGTAAGCGACAACAATTGGTGGAAAACGGTATGGTAATGAACCTTGAATATTGCCGGAGAAAAAAAGAAAAGAAACGGGCTGGCATCGCGCCAAAACCTATCCTCTGACACACTCCACCATGTGCAATGAACGATAGTGCATATAAAGTGGTGACAGATAGGAAATTTGCTTTGCTGAAAGTAAACGATAAATGGCTTTGCTAAAACGCTAACGCAAGCTTTTCTCGCAAATCTCCCTTCTTTCTCCCACAACATTCTTCTTGAATTTCAGACTTGAAGACAAACAAGATGTTTTGAGAACTTCCCGTAAAAACCTCCTCTACTGACTCTGAGCGTTCAAAAAATGTGCTGAAGGGGCTAGGACACGTCATACGTTAAATCCCAACGAGGGTGATCGTATTCGGTCGGTGGAGGGATTGAGGCTTCAGTGAGTTCAGGAGAGAGTTCATTGGAACTACATAAATACTCTACCACACCTCCTCGTTTGACGGTCGCACGGCACGTTTTCGAACGATAAATTGAAGGGCTTCTCCGTAGGGCGGTAAAGTGGTAGAAAGTTGAGGGACGTAATGGAAGACGCTAGGTAGGAGGGATGGGGGGGGGGGAGGAGAGGGAGGTGGTCGTTTTGAAAAGCACTCTTCTCTTGACCTTTTAGAACGACCACCTCTCTCCTTTCTTGAAATCTTGAGGAGGGGTCTTCCTTTTGCGAAAATTTTCCCGGCAGAACGTGCTTTGAAAGAGGCCTCCACCTAGGTGACATGACTTAGCTGTGGGCAGTTCTTAAATTCAAGTAGTAAGATAACCTTGGTGGCTGACGCTGTTGCGGTACACATCTTTGGCGAGACCCCCTCAGGGGTGGGGGGGGGGGAGAGCATACGTGGTTGATGGGAGGGAGTCGCGCTTGGTCTTGACAGGGAATTTCTGCGCCTCGAGAGGATTGTTCCTGGCTGTTGATTTTTTGCTGTACTCCCGTTTTATGTGTATTACAGCATGCCTGCTGCGGATGCGGGGCAATTTCGAGGATAGAGAAGGCGCCCCCGTGCGTTGGCTTTAATGCGGAGGCAAACGCATTTTTCGCACCACATGCTGTCGCTTGCCCTCTTCACTATTGGCGAGAAGCGGTCAGTCAGCGCCGTGCCAATGCAAACCCCCCTGACACGCCCCACCATCTGCAGCGCCTCCGAAGTCCTACACATTTGAACTTTCGGAAGAGAAGTTAGAAGCTGACTGGTGATAACCTTTTCACTTCTATCCCCCCACGTCCCCCCTCGATGCAGTTTTTTTTTGTAAGGAAATGAAGAGTTCTCAGAAAAACTGAAATAAGGGTGGTAGGAAGTTGAGAAATTCGAGCGAGAGATGGGATGATCGGAGGATGGACTTTTCGCGGATGGGGACGTCTGACGTCACTATCTCCGAGTGGCTCGTACTCAGAGTGCCCGGTAGAAGTTCTACCCGTCAAAAGGCTCCGAAGAAGGCGATGTTCGCCGAAACGTTAGTCCAATAAAATATCTGTACAAATCTCGGGAGGCTGAAGAAACATTCTGAATTATTACGTCTCTGATGCCGAGATTAATTGAAAGCCGATCCTGTGATCACTATCTCCCCTATGCCGATACCGTACACTGAATCCGTTATTTAGAGTGAAGCTTACCTCGATGTTCTCGTTCTCAGGGAACGATTTCGATGCCGTCCTTGTACCAGATGAACTCCGGGGTTGGATGTCCGCTAGAATGACATTCCAATCTGAGGGGTTGTTTTTTGGCTATCGAAACATCGCGTATCCCTTTGATCACAACAGGGCGCCATATTTGCTGAACATCAACTGTTTGAAGAGATTACTGTCACCCTTCATCCACTCACCAGTCATTTTGATTGGTTCCGTCTGCTGAGAGAAGGTCCCGAC